CTGCAGTTCTCTGAGGTCCAGCAGGCCAAGCCTCAGGGCCACCCCAACACGGGGGGGGCATTGCCAAGCTGTCACCAGATGGCTGGTTCCTTCGGGTCTGGCTGGTAGCTCCCTCAGAGGGACGTGGTCCTGCGGTGGGGGCAGGGACAATCTGATGGCCTCAGGCTGCAGTTTCTTGGCAGCCTGGCTGCACTCCAGGCCTGGGCTGGGCCTCTAGGAGGGGTTCACTGGCCCGTGGGGTGATGGCTCCAGAGTGGGTTCACGAAGCCACGGGAGCTCAGTGCGGTTGTCTAAAGGGCACGGTGGTGTGCGAGGCCGGGATGGAGTTGTGCCCAGGCCACGGGACGTCACCCTTCACTCCCTCTGGCAGACGCAGCATGGCCGGTGGCCCGTGGCCCGGCAGAATCGGCGGAGGGGGCACCTTCCCGCTCTCCCCGCTCTCCCCACCCTGGCCAGGCAGGCTCTCCCCCACCCCCACCCAGCTCAGGGGGGCAGGAGTGGGGGGCGCGAAGGTAAATAAAAACAGCCACTGTGTAGGAACTACAGCCCAGGCCGCTGGAGTGCCAGACCACGGCGCATTCCCCCACGAGGAAAGGGCTTTCTCACCAGTCCATGTCATAGGTAGGGAAACTGAGGCCCACAGCAACACGGCGTCTGAGCTGGGATTTGAGCCAAGGTTATCAGCAGGTCATCTCGGAGGGCGGGGTAAGGACGCGAGGGTCTGGGACTGTGTTCCCTTCCCTCTCACCATCGTCTGTGTGTGAGATGATGTTCTTTCTCTGAATGAAATGTTTGGTTTAGTTTGGGGTGCTGGGGTCTGAACTGGGGGCCTCCCACTTGCCTGGCACAGACATCTCAGGGTTGGAGCGGCCCTGGCCCTGGGGTGAAATTTGGGGAACTCCACTGGTGCAAAGTTATTTTTAAAGATCTGTTTCTCACTTGGCCACGTGAGCAGGGGCGGAGCGTGCGCTGCTGTTTCCAGCGCTGAGGCTTGAACTCAGGACCCGCGGCTAGCCGGGAGCCGCCTGCGCCCGTGCCACAGGGCTCTTTCATTGTGTTGGCAGTGGAGGACAAGGCCCGGGCGGGCGGATGGCGCTCTGCCCTCCTGCACCACTCTGTGAGCTCGAAGCAGCTTAACAAAGAGATGTAGAAGAGGCAAGGCGAGCTGGCGTGGGCTGTCAGATTCCGGCGGTGGGGGGGGCGTCCTCGTGGGCCTGCGGGGGAAGGACACATGTCACCCGCGGTGACACGCACCCTCTCCATTTCCCCTTCCTGTCTGCTACCTGTGTGTCTGGATTTTCTAATAATTAGAGGAGAGCTTTTCAAGGAACGCCTCCGAAGCCCCTCCTGGAGAGCTGCTAATTGCTCTGGAATTGTCTTTTCTCCATCCTGGAGAGCAGTGGTCGGGGGAGACCCAGAGCTGAAGCCTTGGTGCCTCCCCCGCCCCTCCCCCCCCCAGCAGCTCCCAGGGGAGCCCAGGCCGTGGCTACCGCTCAGAAACCTCAGGACCTCAGGCTGCTGTGGGTGCGGGTGAGCCCAGGGACCAGCTGCGGGGACACGCCCCCCTAGCCCACAGATGAGAAGGTGAGGCTCAGAGAGGGTGAGTGGCCGCCCAAAGTCACACTGCACGCCAGACCCGGGGCAGGACCTGGCCTCAGCGCTCCTCGCCACCCCGGCCTCCGCTCACTTCGCTCCAGGCTTCCCCCAAGGAGCCCCCGGGTTCTCTCTGTTTCTGGACCCAGAGGGCTGCCACCCTCTTCGCCCCCAGCACCCCCAGGCTTTGAATCCCCACCCGCTCTTCCTAGAGAAACACATGGGGTTTTCTTTGCCTTTTTCTGCTCACTGGGAGAAATCCCAGAACCGCACCTGATTGTTCGGTGATGATGGTCGACAAGCGGTGAGCACCCCAGAAACATGAGCGGGTCCCCAGGAGCCACGGGGACACCAGGACACCTTCGCGGGGCCTCTGGGATGGCACAAGCCAGCCACGCGCCCACCCATCAAGGCCCTGGGGGGCAGCCGGGCCCGGAATGCACCGGACGCCGGCACCCGGCTGGCTTGGACTCCACGTGGTCTGCAGATGCCCTGGGCCGCCAGAGATGGGGGCCGGACCTCAGGGTGGCTGCTCCCCCAGGGCCACAGGGCCCAGCAGGGTACAGGACAGTGAGAGAGAGGGAGAGAGGGACAGAGAGACAGAGGGACAGAGAGAGAGAGAGAGACAGGGAGAGAGAGGGAGAGAGGGACAGAGAGACAGAGAGAGACAGGGAGAGAGAGGGAGAGAGAGAGAGAAGCAGATGGACAGACAGGCAGGGAGACAGCGCCAGCATGCCCGTGGCCTCCACCAGATGTCTCCATGCTGGGAGCCAGGAGGTCCCGCTCATTATTCCAAATTCCCAGGGTTTCCAAAATGGTCTAAGAGAGGCCCCTGGCTTCTCTCCCAGCGCCCCCCTCCCCCCCCCCCCCCCCCCCCCGCCCGGTGGCCCAGGGCAGCCCCTCTGGCTCAGGCCCACAGCCTGAGATGAGGTCTCTGCCGCCCCCCTGTGGTCACCGGCTGCAGCACAGGCTCGAGTTTGTCATTGTCCCCGGAGGGTTGGGGTCTCCAGAGAACAGAACCATGCCTCGGCTCCTGTGACACTGAGGGGACCCCACGAGGCTGGCGTGGGTGGGGTCCCCTCGCCCAGTGGGTGCTCTGATTTGGGACACAGAGGAGACACAGGAGCGCGCTGTGTCCGCGCTCCGGCTCTGTGTGGCCCCTCTGAGCTCTGGGGCTGGGTCAGGAGTGACCGTCCCTGTCACCCTCCGTGCTCAGTGCCCACGTCCCTCCTCTCGGCCGCTGGGGGCCCCCCGCAGCCTTGGTGCCCCCAAGATCCCAGGGGTTTTTTGCCCCTCCTACTCAGAGGCCTGGACCGCCTGTACCCTACGTCCACAGGCAAAGACTCCGTTCCCAAGACTCAGGCCGTGTCGTGAGGTGTGGGGTGGACAGGCATGTTAGGGTGACACCGTGAAGTCCAGCACCCCCTCCCAGAGTGAAGAGAACAGGGAAGGGGAGAGGGGTGGCGGGTTGGGGCGGCCACACCACGCAGAGCAGAGTGCAGAGTTCCCCCCCCCCCCCGCAGTGGGAGGGAAACGCAAGCTACCATTAGAATGCGGGGTTTGCTTGGAGCCCCGGAGGGAGGTCAGGGCGGAGTGAGGGGTGGCGGGGCCCGGCGGGGGCGGCACGGTGGGAGGACGGCTCTGGAGCGGAGCACAGATCCCCAGACAGACAGCGCACCTGGAGACGCTCCTCCCCAACACAGCAGGGCATCCTCATCGGGGCCTTGGAGACATCACTGAAGCCCAGAGAGGGCAGGTGACTGCCACGGCCACACAGTAAAGCCACGTGTGGAATCTGAACTCGTGTGTAGCTGACGCTAGAGTCCTTGCCTTCCTTCTGTCTTGAACAAATCCTGAGCAGATGGGAAACAGTGTGTCCATTACCCAACAGCCAGAGATGAGGTGTAACCACTGCTAAAGATACAGTGTAACCACTGCCAAAGATACAGTGTAACCACCGACAAAGATACGGTGTAACCACCGACAAAGATACAGCCTAACCACCACCAAAGATACAGTGTAACAGCCAACAGCATCAAGGCAAAGCTTCCACAACTCTCTGCCTACTTCAATCTCTTAATTGGTCTCATTATTCTTTCCTTCCTTCCTTCTTTCTTTCCTTCCTTCCCTCCCTCCCTCCCTCCTCTCTCTCTCTCTCTCTTTCTATGAGGTATGGGGGATTGAATTCAAGACCTGCTCTGCCACTTGAGTACCTGTGTGTGTGTGTGTGCGCGCGCGCGCGTGCGTGCGTGGGTACGCGCCTTAGTGTGTGGCATTTTTGTCCAGGCCAGACTCAGACCACAACTCTCCTCCCGGAATAGCTGGGATTACAGGTGTGACCCACTGTGCCCAGCCTGTATACATTAAAACGCAAATGTCTCACAGTTGGTCAGAGCAGTTTTCTCCAACTTCTTCGTGGTGCTGGACAGAAACTGCGTGTGTAGAGCCCCGGGCGGGTGCAACACAGACGCCGCGGCTTTGTTCCGCTGGGTCTTCTCATTTCCTGCACTGGCCAGACGGGCTCCAAATTCACCCTGCGCCTCTCAGCCACACCCTCCTGAGTAACCAGGTCTCCCTGACACCCACAGGAAGCGCAAACACAGCGGAGCCTGGGCGGCCGCCGGCCAAGCTGCCCGGACCCCAGCTGCTGTGAGGAGGGGGCCGGGGGGCCTCTCTGGGTGTCCCTGCTGAATGCACGAAGCGCCCACCCCGGCCCCCTTGGCCAGCACCCGGCTGGCAGACGGGGAGGGTGGGGCTCCACACCTGGCTGGGGAGGTGACCAGCCGCAGCTCCTCCCAGGGTTGCCCGGCAACCAGGTGCCAGCGTCCCCGGAGCCCACGCCGCACACCTGTGCCCAGCCCTGTTGGGTCTCCCTCAGAGCTGGGTGTCCCTGGAGCCTGGGCTAATTCCCCGAAACTGCCAGCGCCGCGCCTTGGCCACAATGAACATCATCCTCTCCAGGTGAGCGCCGCGCTGAGGACTGGGGGCCAGGGGTGGGGGGTGCAGGGGTGAAAGGTCGAGGGAGGCAGGGCTCCGGACCGCGGTGCCTCCGCTCTGGGGCTGGTATGTGGCAGGCAAAGCACGGGCGCCATTCCCCAACTTCCTCCCTCACCCCTCAAAAGCCGCTCTGCCCTGCCCCCCCACTTCTGTGGAGCCCCAACTCTCTCTACCCACCCCTCTCTCCAGGCTCCAGCCTCCACCATGCTGCAGCTAGGCTGCAGGACCACATCCGATCCCATCCTTTAAAAACAGGCTGCTGGTGGGCACCGTGGCTCACGCCTGTAATCCTACCTGGGGGGAAAGGGGGCTGTGGCTGTGGCCTGCCCGGGTCCCCGCCCACCGGGGCCGCGTCACCTCCCGAGCTGCCCAGTGTCACCGCCTGGGCTCCGCAGGGACAGCCAGGTGAGGATCATGGAGAGCACAGTGGCCAATGCCGAGAAGCACTTCGGCCAGTTCTGCTCGCTGCTGGCCTCCTACACACGCAAGACGGCCCGGCTGCGGGACACGGCTGACCAGCTGGTCAAGCAGCTCATCGACTTCGCCAACACCGAGAGCCCCGCGCTGCGGGCCGCCGTGAGGGGCCTGGCGGAGGACCTGGCCAAGCTGCAGGACTACCGGCAGGCCGAGGTGCGTGGGGCCGGCAGCCTTCCCGCCGGAGGGGGGGGGGCTCCCAAGGCCGCCCGAGGGACCAGCCAGCGGTGCTTGCTGCTCGGCTCTGCCTGGTGCTCCTTGGGGTGTGAGGTCTGGGGCCCCGGGGACCCTCCAGAGAGGCTGCGGCTCAGCCTCGGCCAGCTGCACTGGGGGTGCCTTGCAGGTGGAGCGGCTGGAGGCCAAGGTGGTCAGCCCGCTGCAGCAATACGGAGCCCAGATAAAGCAGACCCGGGTGAGCGGGGCGCTGTGGACGGGCGGTGGCGGCCCCCCCCCCAGCAGGGTCCCCGGTACATAACCGCCTCTTCTTCTCCACAGGCAGAGATCAAGAAATGTAAACGTGTCCAAAACAATGAGATCAAACAGCTGCAGAAGCTGGAGAAACTGAGGCAGAGGTCACCCTCGGATCGGCAAATGATTGTATCCTTCCTGGCACCTCCCCCCCCCCCCCCCCCCGCATGCTCCCTGTGTTTTCAACGCCCCAGGCCCCCTGGGGGGGAGGCTGCCAAGGGGCTGCCCAGCAGGCCACAGGGATTCCCCTGGCTCCTTAACGGCCTCCCCAGTGCCAGGTGAGTGGCCAGGGTTCGTCGGGGGCAGGCGGCATGGCAGGCGGGTAAGGAAACCGTGGGCAGAGCCCTAGCTGCACCTCGGGGGGGGGGGCACAGGGGCTCAGGAGAGCTGTGTGTCCAGCAAGCCACACGTGCGCTTTGGTTCTTCATCAGCGACACCCTGGGCGCGGGGGGGTGGGGGGAGGGCTCCGCGGTGCTGGGAAGCAGGCTCAGAGAGGCTCGGGACCAGAGAGCAAGGCTCGAAGGCTGAGGCCTGGGGGGGAGCAGGGCTGGAGGCTGAGGCCTGGGGTGGGGAGCAGGGCTCACAGGCTGAGGCCTGGGGGGGGCAGGGCTCACAGGCTGAGGCCTGGGGGGGTGAGCAGGGCTCGCAGGCTGAGGCCTGGGGGGGGGCAGGGCTGGCAGGCTGAGGCCTGGGGGGAGGAGCAGGGCTCGCAGGCTGAGGCCTGGGGGGGAGCAGGGAGCAGGGCTTGCAGGCTGAGGCCTGGGGGGGAGCAGGGCTCGCAGGCTGAGGCCTGGGGGGGAGCAGGGCTGGCAGGCTGAGGCCTGGGGGGGGGAGCAGGGCTGGCAGGCTGAGGCCTGGGGGGGGCAGGGAGCAGGGCTGGCAGGCTGAGGCCTGGGGGGGGGCAGGGCTCACAGGCTGAGGCCTGGGGGGGGAGCAGGGCTCACAGGCTGAGGCCTGGGGGGGAGCAGGGCTCACAGGCTGAGGCCTGGGGGGGAGCAGGGCTCACAGGCTGAGGCCTGGGGGGGGGCAGGGCTCTCAGGCTGAGGCCTGGGGGGGAGCAGGGCTCACAGGCTGAGGCCTGGGGGGGAGCAGGGCTCACAGGCTGAGGCCTGGGGGGGAGCAGGGCTCACAGGCTGAGGCCTGGGGGGGAGCAGGGCTCACAGGCTGAGGCCTGGGGGGGAGCAGGGCTCGCAGGCTGAGGCCTGGGGGGGGCAGGGCTCTCAGGCTGAGGCCTGGGGGGGGGAGGAGGGCTGGCAGGCTGAGGCCTGAGGGGGGGCAGGGCTGGCAGGCTGAGGCCTGGGGGGGGGGAGCAGGGCTGGCAGGCTGAGGCCTGGGGGGGGGGAGCAGGGCTCGCAGGCTGAGGCCTGGGGGGGGGAGGAGGGCTGGCAGGCTGAGGCCTGGGGGGGGGCAGGGCTCTCAGGCTGAGGCCTGGGGGGGGGAGGAGGGCTGGCAGGCTGAGGCCTGGGGGGGGGGAGCAGGGCTCACAGGCTGAGGCCTGGGGGGGAGCAGGGCTCACAGGCTGAGGCCTGGGGGGGAGCAGGGCTCACAGGCTGAGGCCTGGGGGGGAGCAGGGCTCACAGGCTGAGGCCTGGGGGGGAGCAGGGCTCGCAGGCTGAGGCCTGGGGGGGGCAGGGCTCTCAGGCTGAGGCCTGGGGGGGGGGAGGAGGGCTGGCAGGCTGAGGCCTGAGGGGGGGCAGGGCTGGCAGGCTGAGGCCTGGGGGGGGGGAGCAGGGCTGGCAGGCTGAGGCCTGGGGGGGGGGGAGCAGGGCTCGCAGGCTGAGGCCTGGGGGGGGAGGAGGGCTGGCAGGCTGAGGCCTGGGGGGGGGCAGGGCTCTCAGGCTGAGGCCTGGGGGGGGGAGGAGGGCTGGCAGGCTGAGGCCTGGGGGGGGGGGAGCAGGGCTCGCAGGCTGAGGCCTGGGGGGGAGCAGGGCTCACAGCTGAGGCCTGGGGGGGAGCAGGGCTCACAGGCTGAGGCCTGGGGGGGAGCAGGGCTCACAGGCTGATGCTGGGGGGGGAGCAGGGCTCGCAGGCTGAGGCCTGGGGGGAGGAGCAGGGCTCGCAGGCCGAGGCCTGGGAGGGGTCAGGGCTGGCAGGCTGAGGCCTGGGGGGGAGCAGGGCTGGCAGGCTGAGGCCTGGGGGGGGGAGCAGGGCTCACAGGCTGAGGCCTGGGGGGGGAGCAGGGCTTGCAGGCTGAGGCCTGGGGGGGGCAGGGCTCGCAGGCTGAGGCCTGGGTGGGTGGAGGGGGTGGTCGCCGCTGCCCGCGTGTCACTGAGTGACCTTGGCAGGGCCCTGTCCTCACCGCTTCATGGAGCTGAGCCACAGCTACCTGGGCCTGTTTGGCCTCTGAGATCTCGGGGGTGTCATGGCTGGAAGGATCCCCTGCACACCTTAGGTTCGGGGCCATGGAATGTTAGCTTAAACATCGCAAGCATGCTCAGTCCTTCCAGATCGGGTCAGAAGTCACCACCGGTGCCTCCCAGCTGCACCCAGGGCAGGGCTGCGCCCTTTGGGGGCTCCAGGGGTCCCCAAGAAACCCCATCACCATTTCCACCTTCCACAGCCACTAGCATCCTTGTCCCCAGCCTGCCTTCCATAGCTTCCCCCCTTCTCCTGAGAACCCTGGGCGGCTTGGAGTCACCCTGGGGTACCCGGGAGCCCGGGAGGCCCCCGCCCCGGGAAGGCCGCCGTCTGCACCCTACAGGCCCTGTGCGCTGTACCACTGAGGCCTGGGAAGCAGGCGGCCTTGCTGACTCTTGTTCAGAGTTCAGAAAATCAGGCTCAGCGAGGGCGAGGGGCCTGCCTACGCCACCTAGCGCACAAGCAGGACCAACTACCCCTTCAGCCATGGTTCCACTCGGCCCTTCCCTCCACGAGCAAGAAGGCTAGCCACCCCAAGAGGCTGGAGAGCGGCCATCCAGAGGCTGCCAGGGGTCACACACACCCTGACTCCTCTCCCTCCCGCGACCCTGGGGCCAGGCGGAGAGCCACGCACAGCGGGCGTCGGTGGACACCAGCCGCACCACCCACCAGCTGGAGGGGACGGTGGACGCCTTCCAGGAGCGGAAGCTGCAGGACCTCCAGGTGGGGTGGGTTGACACTGTGCACGCACACGCGCGGGTGTGGGCACGCACATCTGTGTTTGCACCTGTGTGTGTCCAGGAGGACCCCGAGCCCGGCTCCCGGGACAGCCCAGGCCAGGCCTGCCGCACTGCCTGGAGTGAAGCCCAGCGCTCGGGGCCTCTGACATTCCTGGGGCGGCACCCCTAGCTCGGGCCGTCGCATCCTTCGTGGTTTCCTTTGTTCGTCAATGTAACAAAAGCCGCTCCATGCCAGGCGTGGCGCCTGCTCCCAGGCTGCGTGTACCCAGTCAGGCCGCAGCCAGGGCTGGCGCCACCGCTCCACAGCAGGGAGCTGGGACCCGAGCAGCTGGGGAGAGACTTACCCCAGCCCTCCCAGAAAGCCCCCCGAGGTTTAAATGAGGGAGAATCAAGAGCTTGAACGAACGCATTCTTTTTGTAAACCACATCGGGTCTATCAGCCGCAGCTGCGTTTACAAACAGCCGTCGGGGAAAGCGGGTGTGGCACAGGCCTCTTACCTGCTTGCTCTCTGCAAATCCTCCTGGAGGCACAGCCCTGGCCCCACCAGGCACAGCCGGCCTGCTCTGCCCGGCTCCCCACAGGCTGTGGAACTGCTCATGGCGCAGAGCAGATGGGAAGAGGCCCTTCCCAGGACAGGAGCCAGAGACAGCACCCCAGCCCCTGAACCTGACCCCAGGGTCCGCCTGCTCCGCCCAGCCGGCAGGAGGCTGCTGGTGGAACCCAGGTGTTCCCACTCCACCTGGGCCTCCCCTCTCCTCCCCTTCCCTTCCTTTTCCCTCCCCTTCCCATCCCTCCCCTCCCCTCCACCACAGGGCTGAAAATGGGCTAGAGGTTTCCTGCGTGAACTCCTGGACGGAGCTTAACCCAAAGGGATCAGAGCAGGGTGACCGGGGAGAGAAAGCAGAATGGGGTGCATCCAAGGAAACAGAGGCGGGCATGCAGAACCTTCTGGAAGGTTTGCTGTCCAGGGTGCAGAGCGGTGTCCTCCATGAGTACTAGGTCAGGGCACGGGCCCTGGACCCTCTGGTTCAAACACAATAAATCACTGCTGGCTGAGTAGACTTTCCCTGCAGGCCGAGCCCCCTCCCCAGCCCCGACTGTCAGGCTCTGGGGTGACAGGTGTGTTCCTGCAATGTGACTCGGTTTCCCCCACAGAGGATTTTCTTGGACTTTGTGAGCATCGAGATGGTCTTCCACGCCAAGGCCATCGAGATCTACTCCCATGCCTCCCAGACCCTGGAAAACTACGACCTGGAGGGAGACCTGCAGGTGGGTCCGGCAGGTCCTGCTCTGAGGAGGGGGAGGGGAGGGGAGTTTCAATTTGGGGTCTCACCGGGGATTGAACCCATGGCCTCAGAATGCCAGGCAAGCTTCAAACCACTGGAGCCACGCCTCCAGCCCTGTCCTTCGGCAATTCTATAACTGACGCCTCGTTCTTGTGAGCTGCCAGCGGCCGACTGGGGGTGGGCGGGGCTCTGTGTGGGTCTTGGCATGCTCATCCTCTCCCGTGCCCAGGATGGAAGACAGATGACGATGCCCCCCAGACCTAGACCTCCGGGGGAGCCGCACCAAAGACTTAACTTGCAGCCCCGAGGAGCTCCTGCAAAACCCAGTGCCCACTTCCGTAGCAGCCTGGTTCCCTGCTCTCCTCTCCTTATCCCCATTGTCTTTATCTCGCCGCACCTCGCCTTCCCTTACCACATCGCTGGCCGCAGGTTACCAGGCCTGTGACACTGTGTTTTAGGATGAGGGTGATTTTCCTGTGTTGCCTCTCTGAGCCTCCGTTTTCTATGTATGAAATGGTGTGTCCGTGCCCACTTTCAGGGCAGCTGTGGAGATGTAAATAGGAGCTGCACAGACAGGCCTCTGTCCCCCTCCCCCTTTCATCCAACCCCCCTGCTGTCTCTCCGGCAGGATTTTAGAGACAAGATGCGTGGTGCGTGTGGACAGGGCGGGGCGCGGCTGTGCACACACGCCGAAGCCAGCAGCTCTCCCTCTGTGCCCTGGGCTCCCGCTAGCCAGGTGAGCACTTGGGTGTGAGTGGCTTCTAAGGTCGTAGCAAAGCGGGGGGCAGACAAAGGTGGCCGAGACCTGGAGATCCGGTGAAGGAGGGCGCTGGGGGCAGGACGGGGCTGTGGGGTCTGGACAGGCTTGGCCTTGAAGTGGAACCAACACAGCCAGCCACAGCCCAAGCCCGCCAGGCAGGCATGGGACCCAGGGAGCGGTGATGGAGGGCCAGCCATGACCAGACGGGGCGGGGGGGGGAGGGGGGGCGGTGACGGGGGAAGGGGGAGGAGGGTGACGGGGGAGGGGGGAGGGGGGTGGTGACGGGGGAGGGGAGGGGTGGTGACGGGGGAGGGGAGGGGTGGTGACGGGGGAGGGGAGGGGGGGGCGGTGACCCAGTGGGAGCAGCGACCCAGGGACAGCAGTGACCCGGGTGTGGCCGTCACGCAGGGGCTCTCCCCCTCTAAAGACGGTGGAGGGGAGGTGGACCAGGTCAGGCTGTCTTGGTCCAAACCTACTGGTTCCAGCTGTGTGATCTTGGGGTACCCTGTGTCCTCTCTGGGCATGAGGAACCCCCCTCCCCAGCAGAAGAGGCTGGTGAGCAGAGCACGCTCCTTCCAGAGCTGTGGTGCACACGGGCGGTCAGCCGGTCTGCGTGAAACCCTTAGCCCAGCCCCGGGAGCCGCAGGCCGGGGCTGCCGTCCCGTTGATGCCTCCGCTGTCACTGACATCTGTCGTTACCTAGAGTGCCCAGAGCACGCTACAGAGCCAGAGAAAAGAAGAGGCGGCAGGCGCGGCTGACCCGGCTGAGGACGACCCCCTGGAGGACCTCGGGGGACAGGGGCGGGGGCGCCGGAACTAGGAAGAGATTCCTGGCAAGAGTCAGAAGGACCGGTGTCCCGCGGGGAGCGTGGCGCTGGGCCCGGCTTGCCGCATCTGCGCCCACGCTGTGTGCCTGGCCCGCTGCCTGGCACACAGTAGGTGGGGAGGGAGCCCGCATGGCTCTCACCGAGCCGGAGCAGGGGACTCACCCCGCGTCACGTGGCAAGCAGCGTGGGTTCGCTTCCTGTGCTGTCCAGACGGAGCGCCACAAGTTGTGGGGCTTGGACGTCAGAGTCCATTCCCGCACCCTCTGCAGGCCGACGCCCAGCGGCACCGTGCGGCTGGCAGGGAGGAGCGGCCGTCTGTCCTGCACCTCTGTTGGCTTCTGCAGGGCGGGTGGCTGCTTGTCCATGTCCTGCAGGTGCACCGTCCTGCTTCTGCCCCAACCCCCAACCCCCAACCACGGGGTTTTCCCATCAGCAAAGTGAGACATACAGTCTCCCTGGGGGGTCACGGCAGGACCACCGCCATCAGCCGCCTCAGGTCACCTCCTCCAGAAAGCCTCCCCTGACTGCAACCAGCCAGGAGTCACGACACCATCCAATGGTGGATGCAGTAGTGTTGTGCGCAGATCTCCTGCGCGTCTATATCGCGTGGACACACATACATTGTCTATTACACACGTGAGCTTTCAAAAACGTCAGCTGTGTCTCCACTGCGGATCCGGTCTGAAGAGGAGGTCCCATAGCTGGTGGTCTTGAAGAGGAGGCCGACCAGCTGAGTTTGGGCTCCCCTCTTTCTGGCCGGCGGGTGGGAGGGAAGGGGGAGGGGCTGCTGCCTCCTTTGCCCTGTTTATCGCTACCTCTTCTGAGTGCTTTGCCTGAGAACACAAAGCGCCAACATTGCTTCCTGACACCTGAGAGCCTTGTCCTGCCCCAGGCCAGGTGAGGGGCTCAGGAGGGCCATAATCCAGGGGAGACACCATACAGGGCCCCCAGGACGCAGGACCCCTGGGACGCAGGGCCCCGGGACGCAGGGAGGGGACCTAGCCTACCTTGGGTCAGGGGCATAAAGATTGTAGAGAAACACTGCTCAGAAGCTGTTTCCATTTCTCTTACATTTAGTTTGGTGGCTTTTGAATGACACGTTTTAAGTTCCTTCCTGTTTGTCTAAAAAAAATTAGAAAGTTTAGTGCTCTTTCTGTCTGCAGGAAGCAGATGGTAGCGTCAGGTAGTGGTGGTAGGCATCAGACAGAGTGTTGGGTGTCAGGTAGAGGTGGCGGGTGTCAGGTAGCGGTGGCAGGCGGCAGGTAGCGGTGGCGGGCATTAGGTAGTGGTGGCGGGTATCATGTAGAGGTGGTAGGCGTCAGGCACTGGTGGCGGGCGCCAGGTACTGGCAGACCGTTTTCTCTTAGGGAAACGTGCGCAGGCTGAGCCCCGCCGGCCCAGCCCACTCTTCATCCTGGCAGTGGGGAGCCAGCCTGCCACCGAGGGTCAGGCACATGTCCGGTCCTCTCGGGCGGGGAGGGGATCCCTGTCTTCCGGGGCCCTGGAGACAGACCCCTTCCATCAGAGACACAGGTCTGGAGTAGCCGTGTCCCCCTTGAACCCACAGGCTCTGGCCTGTCTAGGCACTGGCCAGTTTGGGGGGAACCAGAGAGTAGGAAGCCCCAAGCCCTACCCCCCCCCCCCCGGCCCCGTCAGCTGGGGCGGATGAGGCCCCAGAGTCCTCCAGTGGCAGCAGGATGGCTGGGCTCCGAGGGCGGCAGGAGAGGCCCCTCAGGTGGGGGGACCAGGGGAGCCTCATGTCTGCAGAGCGGCTTGGCCGCGATCCTCCCAGTGTGAAAACAGCGACCAGACTGGCTTTTGAAAGATCGTTTATTTCAGGTCCCGCCCTGGAGCCCAGGGAGCGCTGGATGCGTGTTTTTTCTGGCAGGAGACAGGTTTAGTGCCAGCCGCTCAGAGACCTTCTGCCCTGACACTTTCTCAACCTGGAAATGGAATTTTAGAGCGTGACTTACAGGACACGAGGTTATGCAGCCACGTGACTCCCAAGTCCTGGCGTGGTGGCCGAGGGGCTTGCTGTAAACAGTCCGAGGGTGGGGGCACAGGGTGGGGAGCGGCCCCCGTCACGGGTGCTCCGGGCGTGGCCGGGGGCTCAGACCACCGGGTCCCCCCTCAACTCCCTGGGGGGGCCAAACGTTGGGCTCGTCCATTTCAAGACCACCCAGCCCTGCTCCGGCCCCTCCCACAGCAGGCCCTAAGGGAGGGCACCTTCTCTCTCTCCCCCCGTGTCCACCCTCGGGCCTCAGCTCCCAGGGCAGGCCCCACCGCCAGAGCCGGGCGCCCTTCTTTCCATGTGTGCTGTGCATCCAGAGCAAGGCGGGGAGGAGCCTGGCTGGGTGGATCTTTCTAGATAAAGTGCAATACACCTGAGGGGGGGCAGGTTCCGCTGTTCTTGGCCACCTTTCTGACATTGTGGGGAGGGACGGGGAGAGCGAGAGACAGCACTGTACTGGTCCCTGCAGGTCAGACAGGGACACGTGAATCCGCGGCTAGGGGCCGCGCTGCTCCGGGCTCCGGGTGTGTCTGCCGGGACCGCACTTCACTTTGGAGCTCCCTGCACCAAGCCTCTGCTCCTGAGCTCAGCCGGTGGCCGCAGCAGCCAGTGTGCACCCACCAGGGGCCCCAGCCCACCTGCTGGGCCTGAAGGAGATGTGCGGTGGGGAGGAGAGCCGCTGGGGGACAGGCTGCCACCCTTCCTCCATGCACGGGGGGGGGGGGGGGGGGGGGGAGAGATACACAAAGCAAAATGATCACCCAAGCTGGGGCAACCTCCGGAGCTCCAGCAGCTTCGCTGGCATGCTGGGGGGTTGGGAGCGAGTCCTGGGGAGCAGCACCGGGGCTGAGCGCAGCAGGCCACGCCCGTGGAGGGCAGCTTCCCTCCCAGGAGCTAGCATGTGCGGATGGGGGGGGACAACAGAAAGCCACTGGGGTTTGGAGGGTCTGTGTGGGGCTGAGTGCCGAGGAGCTGGCACAGCCAGGGGAGGTCAGGCTGCTCCTCTCCCCCAAAGCTCAGTCAGGGTGCCGGCATGGACCCTGCAGCTGCTGCCCAGGGACCTCCTCCTACTCAGGGCTCCTGGAGCACAGCGGGGGACTGCAGGGGAAGGCCGGGGAGGGGAGGGCAGGGCAGGGGAGGGCAGGGGAGGGGAGGGCAGGGCAGGGGAGGGCAGGGGAGGGCCGGAGCGCAGTGTCCGAGGCGGCACCCCAGCAAGCAGGCTGCCGCAGCCGAGCACACTCCCATCCTGCCCATGAGCCACGGCCTCCGGCTTGGGCGCCACTGGCTCCGGCGCCCCAACCCGGCACTGCCCAAAGCCCAGCCTCCTGGAGGACACACATTCCACGGCCCAGCCTTGCTCCGCTCTAGAACGTTCTGGGAGGTACGGCCCTCGGGGAAGCCTCGGGCACAGACGTGGGTTTGCGGTTCTCACAGACAGTTCATGACTGAATAGAGGGAGGAGGGGCCATGAAGGGCAAAAGGAGGCATTCAAGGTCAGCGGAGAGAAGGAGCAGAAAAGAGGTAGCGCAGGGGGGGGGGGCCTCGGGCCACGCCTTTGTCCCGCAGGCTAGATGAGGCCACTTCTGACTGGGGGAGAGGGGGACGGGAGGGAGACTACAGAGCCCGGGGCTGTGGAGGGTGGATGTGCCTCCGTGGTGGTCACCGCGCTCAGAGCTCAGTCAATCAAGACCAGTCTGCTCAGAGGTCAGCCAAGCCCCTGGCTCAGCCCCCGGGGCAGCCAGAGCCCGCGAGGCTGCAGGAAGGGCCGCGTGGGCCGCTGCTGGGGCCTTCCCATCGCAGCTGTGCGGACGGATGCCTAGCCCTCCGCCTGTGATGCGTGGAACTTCCTCCACTTCTGAAGGAGGCTGGGCTGGGCAGACAGTCTGAGGGTCTACGGAGATGCCAGGCGAGGCCGGAGTGTCTGGCAGGTGTCACACACCGCCACGGCGGCCTCCAGGGCCGGGAGGCCCGTCCGGGGCAGGGAGGCCCGTCCGGGGCAGGGAGGCCCGCGCGGCCCTGTCTCTCTCACAGAGTGCATGTCCCCTCCCTGAGCTCCTTGCGCTCCAGGGTCCCATCACGGTGGGAGGTGGGGCCAAGCGGGAGCCACAAACGGCCACGAGCAGCCACGAGCCACCTGCTTAGACACAGCTGCACCGCAACCCTGTGCCCGCCAGGCCCTGGCCACAGCCTGCAGGGCTGCCGCCGCCGCCTCCTCCTCCTCCTCCTCTTCCTCCTTCTCCTCCTCTTCCTCCCTCGGTCTCGTCTGGCAAGCCTGGCTCACTGGGGGCAGAAGGTCCCGAGACGCCATGTACAGGGGCGGGGGCAGATGGGGCGGGCAGCGGGGGTCTTCTAACCGCTACGTGGAGGCAGCTCCGGGTGCCCGGGTGCCGCTGCTGTCATGCGGGTTATGGTGGAGGCCCGCAGCCTCCTACTCAGCGGCCATCTGCTCGATGTGGTCGCTAAGCAGCTTGTATTGTTCTGGAAGAGAATACGGGGTTAGGGGAGGAGGAAGGGCAGGCGGGCATGGCCGCTCCCCTCCCGCCTCCTCAGCCACAACTAAGGATGGGCTGCTGACCCCTGAGCCGCAGCGGCCCGGGCCGCCCTGTCCCGTCCCAGGCAGGGCTGTGCCCCGAGTGAACACGGATGCGGTATGAGCACAGCGGGACCTGGGTGGGGAATTAGCACGCGGCTGTGGAATGCAGCCCGGAAGCTTCTAGAAGTGCATGTGGTCTGATGGTCTGATGCTGGGGGCTACGTGATGGGGGGGAGGTGGCCGCTGCTGGCAAGGCGAGGCTGCACCGACTGCCCGGGGGACACACACCCTGGTGCCTCCTGAGGCCATGAACTTGGGGGCAGGATAGAAATGTCTTCTAGAACACTCATGCAAGGCCTTTGGGCCCAGGAGAAGCAGCAGCTGTGGCAGATGACGGCACATGAAGTGTGAGGAAACGCAGACCCCTCGCCGCACCCCTGGCCCCTGTGGCAGGGCAGTTTGGGAGCACACAGGCCGGGGACTGGCTGCGGCTGGAGTCTGTCTGCAGGGCACCTGCCCGCGATCCCGTTCTCCCACCCGCCGCACCCATCCCCCGTCCAGGTGGAGCAGGGGCCTGGCACCCACCAACTCGGGGAGGCTCGGAAACCAGCCGCGTAGGTTCAGCGGCGTGTCTAAGTGGCAGGCACGCGGCCTTCACAGAGCGGGAACCTAACGGCCCCAAGTCCCCCTCCACCCCGGCCCGGCCCGGCTCACCCTCATCCAGGTTGCCGATCACCGCCTGCTTCTTCAGGAAGTCGCTGCACAGCTTCTTGTTCAGGCCGAAGGCCAGCATGTTGTGGGTGAAGGTGCTGGGGGCAGACACCGGCCGTCACCCCTGCTGCCCGGCCGCGGCCGAGAGGACCGAGTGGGACGGGAAGACTGCAGCGTGGGCCTGCGCTCTTCCCACGCCGCGGCCCGGCCGGTGCCCCCCGCCAGCCTCACCCCAGCTCTTCCCACGCCGCGGCCCGGCCGGTGCCCCTCGCCAGCCTCACCCCAGCGCTTCCCACGCCAGGGCCCAGCCGGTGCACCCCCCCGCCAGCCCCACCCCAGCGCTTCCCACGCCGCGGCCCGGCCGGTGCCCCCCCCCCCCGCCAGCCTCACCCCAGCGCTTCCCACGCCGCGGCCCGGCCGGTGCCCCCCCCCCCCCCCGCCAGCCTCACCCCAGCTGCCCGAAGGCGATGTTCTCATTGAACCGCAGGCTGTCGTCCCGCTCCTCCGGGGTCATGTGGCACCACTTTTCCCTGCGGGCACAGGGGGCAGCCCGGCCTCAGACAGGCCCCAGGCTCGGCCCACCCCGCTCCACCCCCGACAGAGGCCGCTCCTCAACCACGGCCTCCACCAGAGGCTGCCAGACCCGGATGCTGAGGCACCCACACAAGGGTGTGCTTTCCTTCCTCTGAGCCCCGAACCATCGCATGCCCCTGGCCTGCAGCCGTGACGGGGACGCGGCCATCCACGGGGGGCCCGGGCCACCTCACAGAGGCCCACAGGGGAAGGGCCCACCTGTGCCCGGGAGCCAGTGCACGCTGCTCTGCGGCCGGCTGTGCAGCCGGTGTCTACAGGAGACACAGGCGGAGCCCGAGGCCGCACAGGCCCTTCCCAGAGGCCTCTGCCCCCAGACCTGCTCACCCCCGCTCTGTCCTGCCCTTAGCGCCTCCACTGGCCTTCCCTCCTCTGGAAGCACAGCCTCCACAAGCCCGGCTCTGCCCGGCTCCAGAGCCCAGCGCAGCGCAGCGCAGGCCCTGCAGGCAGTGAGTGGGGGCCGGGGAAGGGTTCCACCTTGCGTTCCCTGCCTGGCCTGGGCAGGGGTTTGGGGGGGCTCCCTGTTCACACTGTGCATCTAGACAGGTACAGGCACCAAGGTGAGCGCCAGAGCCGCCCCGCCAGCTCGCGGTCCCTGTTGCCTGCCTCCTGCCCTTCCCCAGCAAGGCTCCAGCACAAAGTCCTTCTGGGAGGACGGAGGGAGGCGAGGGGGGGGAGGACCGTCAGAGGTAGGAGGAGCTTGTGCTGGCCCACCCCCACACCCCATGGGGACAACACTGGATGGGAGGGGGCGGGCCCCAATAGAGGAGAGGAAGAGGAGACCGGGAAGGAGCAGAGAGAAGTCGGGTAGAGAAGCGGAGAGAGAGAAAGCCCAGGGGACAGAGCTCAGCTCCTCTGCACTCTGCTGGCCCGGGGCGCCGCCTCAGTAGGGACACACCACCAGCTCTGCTGGGCAGAGGTCACCTGGAGCCTTGGACAGGAGCCGCCCACGAGGAAACCCCCCCCTCGTGCGCCACCAGGGGTGTGCCCAGCCCCCGTGGCCCCGCCCCCTCCCCAGCCCCAGTCCTCAGGACTACGCGGGCACACACGTCCCCTGGCGCCTGGCCTGCCGCGTGCAGCTGTGCACCGTGACCCCTGCCCGACCCCAGGCCTAATGGGCACGGCTCCCCTGGAGCTGTGAGCACCATATCCCTTGCTGTGGCGGGGGGGGGGGGAACCCCGATGTTAACCTGACTCAGGGGCGTGGGGGGAGCATGCGTGGCCGAGGCTGGGCTGGCGGGACTTCCTGAGCATCCCCCACCTCCACCCGGCCCAGCCCTGACACTGGCTAAGCTCCTGCATTCTGAGGGGTTCTAATGGGTTCTGGATGCACCAAGGCCTGCTGCTGCGGCCACGGCAGGTGGGTAGTGCTGAGGTCTGTCACCGTGCTGGCCGCTCCAGGGAGGGCCTGGGCGGCTGAGAGCACTCTTAGCTCTCGGACAGGCCAGAGGTGTGGAGTCCGCATGGGGCTCGGCTGGCTGTCCCCTCAGCTGGGCTCAGGACAGGCCATCTGGGTGGCAGCAGTGCTGGCCAGCTGCAGGGAGGCCACGATGCTCCCCAACTCTGGGCCTGGGCTACCATCCCAAAAGCCTTGTTCCTGGGGCCTGCGCATTCCAAGCCTGTCTTCTGGCGCCAGGTTGGTTACCGGCCACAGCTCAAAGTTCCTAACAAGGGGCTGGGAAGTTGGCTCAGTGGTAGAGCGCTTGCCTTGCATGCCTGAGGCCCTGGGTTCGATTCCTCAGTACCACATAAGCAAAAAAAGAGAAAAAAAGCTGGAAGTGGTGCTGTGGCTCAAGTGGTAGAGCGCTCGCCTTGAGCTGAAGAGCTGAGGGACAGCGCCCAGGCCCAGAGTTCAGGCCCCATGACCGGACCCAAAAAAAAAATAAAGTTCCTAACAAGGCTGGTGCTGCAACCCCGCTACAGAGGTAGGCGGTGGAGCCAGGTCTGGGGCTAGCCCAGGCCAAAATGTAAGACCCTATCTGGAAAATAACCAAAGCAAAAAGGACTGAAACATGCTTCAAGGGGGAGAGTGCCTACCTAGCAAGTGGAGGGCCCTGAGTTCAAAGCCCCATGGTCGCTAAAAGAAAAAAGAAAAAGGCTTCTCATGACAACACACTGCAAGCTCATCTCCAGTGAAAGGAGGCGCCTTCTGGGTCCGCGAGGCAGCAGCAGCGCTGTGAACGCGCCGCACGTGGAAAGGCCGAACTTCAACCGAACACACACCACCCAGGCTTCAGGCCCTGCCAGCGCTTGCAGGAAGCAGTCCCAGTCTGGCTCCTCAGGGGTCCCCTCTGCTCCCACAGCTTCCCCACCACCCAGCGGCTAGAGGAGAGACCCCCAGAACTGCTGGCCTGCAGGCCCTCGGTGCAGAGACCACACAGCTCCTGCCGGTTGCCTCTGAGCCGGGTGAATTTCCTGGTTGTGGATCCCTGGGAGTCCACGATGGATTAGAGGTGGGCACAGAGGCCGAGTGGCCAGTAGAGGGCGCCACAGGCCCCGAGATTGAATGGGCTTCCAGACTGCTTGCTGCCTTTTGCCCAGAACATGCTCCCGTGGCTCCAGTACCACAAGTGTTTTCTGGCTGCCTTGGGTACACTGGCCTTGGCGAGAAGGTCCCACCTGTGCAGGCCCTGGCCTTGTTGCCAGCCAGTCCCCAGGGACACCCTCCCTGCCCTGCAGAGCTTCCACAGCCCCGCTGTAAAAGGGAACAGAGTCACATGACACACACACCTCTTCTCCTCCTGCTCTCCAGCATCCCCTCTGGAGCGGCAGCAGAAACAGTAAACAAAGGAATACGTCAAAGTCATGCGCGGTACGCGGCGGGCCAGCAAGCGAGGAGGAGTCATTGCAGGCAGAAGCAGAGGACAGAGCGCGGGGACTGAGACTCCATGGCTACAGGCCCCGGGCGCCCTCACCACATCCCCTGGCACAGCCTGGAGCCCTATTTGAGTCCCTGGACCGGATCTCGGTCCCACCCGCCCATGCGTTCCCCCAGTGGCCGCCTCAGGGATACTGGGCCAGCCACCTGGCCCCACGGTGGATCTTTGGCCACGCTGGCGTGAAATGGGTTTCAGCCATGGGCTGGCAGACAGAGCCTCCAGCCAGCTTCGCTCAGCCCCTTCTCCCTGACATGGATGGAAAGAGGCTCGTGGTCACCCCAGTGACAGAGAAGACAAGGTGCCACCAGGGCTCAGAGAGGCTCACTTCAAAGTCTCAGGACTGGCCAGCTAGTAAGGGCACCCAGGGCTGGCACCGCTTCCTCAGAGTTGCTGTCTCTGGCTGCCCCGTGGCTTATCTTAGTCAGAGGGTGCCAGGCACGGCCCGGGGCAGGGCCAGGACCAGGTCCCTCCCTGCTGCTGTGCTTTCTGAACAAGTCCTGGAGACCCGAGGTGCAGCCCGCCCTCAGGGCGGTGCGTGGCCTGCGCCGGCAGCAGCTGGCCGTGCTAGGACAGCTGGGCTTCCAGGGCTCAGCGTTCGCACAGCGAGCAGTGGAGGCAGGGGAGGTGGGCTTATTCAGTGGGGTCTGCGCTTTCAAGACGTCCCCAGGGTTCAGTGTCTGCGCGGTGAGAAGCTGGGGGGGGGGGGGGGACTGGCCTCATTCTGCGGGGCCTGTGTTTTCAGGAGGGCCAGGCCAGGTCATGCCAGAGCCCAGGACAGAAGCGCTCGTGCAAGCTGGGCACCACCACATGGGCCCCTCAGGAGTCGGTGGGCTGGAGGACGCAGGGCCAGGGCAGCTCAGCCCTTCTCTGTGGCTCTTGCCAGTCACCGGGAAACAAAGCCATACCCTGGTCCTCTTCCCCAGGGAAATGGACCACACCTGGCTCCTACCTGGTGGTGGGAGATCGCTTCCTCCTCTCACAATGGACAGCGTCAAAGAAGGCCGCGTTCCAGAACCTCAGCGTGTGCCTGTAGGAGGAGACACGGAAAAGCTGGAGGACACTGGTCTGAGCTGCTCCTCACTGAGACGTGGAGCCTCCCGCATCAGCACTCTGTCTAAGCAGCCGGGGAGAGGCAGAGCTGAGGAGAAGACAGCAGGCGTCACCGTGAGTAAAGCATCTTGCATGTTTTCATGGGTCCTGGCCCAGCGCCCACACTGGGGTTGATCCGCAGCTCCGCGGATGAAAGGGACGCGTTCTCAGAGTACTCATGGCTGCTCACTATCCAGTTCCAGAATGCTTCCCCCCCCCCCCCCATGCCCATTAGGAATCACTCTTGACACACACCACCACGCCCCTCCATCTCAGCCTTGCAGCTCAAAGTCTGCCTCTAGGGTTTCCCCTCTCCTGGGCATTCTGTGCGTGTGGGAGCATGTAACCTGAGGCCTCTGTGTCTGCCTTCCCTAAGCATGACAGAGTCCACGTGTGGCAGTGGCTCTGCAGGCATCCAGGTTTCCCCCCTTTCTGAGGTCAGGTAGCACTATGGTGTAGACAGACCACATTCTGCCTCTTTTCTCTTGGTGGTAGACGTCTACGCTCTCTCTTTGGGGCTTCTTCGCACAGTGCTGCTATAAGCCTCTGTGCAAGGCATCCACGTGGCCACGTAGACCTAGAGCATGGACCCAGAGCACAGTGGCTGGTCACGTGGTCACTGTGCTAACCTCTGAGGGCCTGCCCCGTGCACATTCTCACCAGCGGGGAGAGCACCACCATCTCCACATCCTCGCCCACACTGAGTAGCATGCGTGTTCCCCTGTGGCTGCCCCAACACTGATGTGGCTGATCTCCAGTACTGCTGACAGACCCGCAGGCGGTGACGAGGAGCTGTAGGAGGCACTGCCCCCGGTCAGCAGGGAAGGGGTGTGGCGGCCTTACCAGATGGGCTGCTGCTTCAGGTGTGTGTACAGGTAGATCTTCTCCCCCTTCTGCTCAGCCTCGGGGCTGGACACGGTCTCTGTAGGAGGGAGAAAGGTTATAAAGACACATGGTCAAAATTCCACAGCAGCTGGGCTCCAGTGGCTCACGCCGAAAATCCAACTACTCAGGAGGCTGAGTCCTGAGGATCATGGTTCAAAGCCAGTCCAGGCAGGAAAGTCCATGAGACTCTTATCTCCAAAAATCACAGACAAAGCTAGAAGTGGCGCTGTGGCTCAAGTGGTAGAGTGCTAGCCTTGAGCAAAAGGAGCTCAGGGATGGTGCCCGGGCCCAGCATTAAAGCCCCAGGACTGGCAAAAAAAAAAAAGAAAGAAAGAAAAAAAATTCCACAGCAGGTTTCCTGCGAGAGAAGGCACACCACACGTGGCGCTAGAGCTCCTCTGGGGACAGACCTAAAATGACGCCCCCTGAACCTCTCAACATCCCTGGGACTGAGGAGTAGCTTCCTCAGGCATCCACAGACATTCAGTAAGAAAACACAGACCAACTTGTGAGCTCTCTAAGGCACCATTCTGTGTTGTAGAGGGAAGCTTAGCCCTGAGCTGTTTCCAACTGCTATTACTGGCTAACCACAGGCCAGTGGTTACAACCCTCAGGTTATAGCCTCTTATGACCCGGGAGTCTGGCTTTACAAGGTCCTGCCTCCCCCGCCCTACTCATGAATGTCCCTCCCCCCTCCCTACGCAGCTCTGCGGACAACACTTACCAGCCTTGGGCTGCCTGTCCTTGGGTTTGTTCTCATCTTCTCTGGAGAAAGAAAAGCCACAGAAATGTCAAATGTGGCCCACTTCATGTTCCCGCCAATCAAAGATACCTGGCACAGCGGAGGCAGGCTGTGTGCTCCCATTACAGGTGTTCAGGGACACTCAGGGGTCTTCCTGGGTTCCCTGGCCACTAAGTGCCCCCAGACAGGAGAGGGTGGGGCAGAGGTGTGATGTCCCCCACTGTCAACTGGCAATCACTGTGGGCTCATCGGTCCAAGAGCCAGCCCTGGACTGCCTGTGCGGGGAGTGGACACCACGGGAGGCTGTGGGCACAGAATCCCAGTAGGCCTTGAGCTGGCTACAGCCCCGCCCAGCCTCGGAGGGCCTCTCCCCCCCAGGCAGAGGCTGCCGGGCCACTCACTCATTCTTCTTGGCCAAAGGTCCCTTGAGCTTGGTCTCCAGCCCCCCGAAGAAGCCCTTCATGTTCTCTGTGTTCTTCAGCAGCCTCTCGGCAATGTCCTTCTTCTCCGCCAGCCAGCTGTTGGCCGACTTCAGGTAGGAGTCGATGCTGCCAGCAGCTCTCTCCCTGGGCTCGGAGGGGAGCAGGTGCGGCTTGCCTGGATGGAGGGAGGAGATGAAGAGCCAGGTTGGTGCAGCCAGGCTGCGGCTGGCACAGGAGGCTCCTGGGGTGTCTCGGGCTTTCCCTGCCTCGGTGGTGGGAAGCCGTCACCCCAGAGGTAGCCAGAGACATGCCCTCAGGGGCGCTGGGACACGGGAAGGGCTGCCTCTCTGCAGGCCCCAGCACCGGCCGTGTGCAGAGGAGTCAGGAAGGAGCTAGGGGGGTGGCAGGCGGCAGCCCGCAGATGAAGTCTGCCTTTGGACAGTGTGTGTGGTGTGAGGGGACCAGAGGCGTTCCCAGGACAGGGCACGGTCATGGGATCTGGGGGGCGGGGGAGGCCTCAGAGGCAAGTATGTTTTGTGAAAACATAAAGGTGAGACTCCCCCCAGTATCCCCGTCTCCCCCCGCCCATGACACCCTGGCCTCATTTCCTGACTGCATGGCCTTTCCTTTGCTCTGTGGACTGTGGCGCTGCCCACGGTACAGCCCGTGGCCCATCCACTTTCAGTGCCTCACTACTGGCTTGTCCCCTCCCTATCCTTGGTCTCTGCTCTTTGGAAGCCCACAGCTTTCGCCATGCTGCCAGCTGGCAAGCGGCGGCCTCGGCGGTAGAAGTGTGTGGAGGCCAAGGCCGAGCCGGGTCTCACCGATGTGGTAGTAGGTGAAGCACATGGTCATGAGATTCTTGGCGGGGCCGAAGTCATCCATCTGATGGCACCTGGATGGGAAGCAAGGCCTCGATGGTGACTTAATCAAACGGGACTGAAACACTCCATAAACATGTTGAAATTAACCCCTCGCTCCCAAGACAATGCCACGGAAGGGACAAAAATAGTCCCCCAGAGCCAGCTAGGAGCTTCTTCTGGGTGCCCAGCCCAAGGCTGGGTCTGACAGAGTGGGAGGATGCTTTGGTCCCCTAGATGGTCTCTGTCGCTTTAGGGTGACAATCAGCAAACTGAGCCCAGCTCATGGCCACATGGTCAGGCCAGAAGCCACTCCCAGCCTTGCTCCGGCCAGTGGCTCAGGGCCCTCCGCCAGCAGCCTCTGCTCCTTAAGCATCAGCTATAAGTCACGTGATGTCTCCACACCACGGGCTGGGAGCCCAGATCCCCAGGGGGTGGTAAAGACAAGGACCAGACAAGGCCCCACTGTTGGCCCAGTGGGCCTTGGGCAGGGCCTGAGCCAGGAAAGACCTGGGCCATACTGTCCCCACACTCCTGGCCCAGGACTGGATTTGGAGAAAAAGAATTGTGTCAATACTCGTTGAAAATCAAGACAAACTAGTCCATAAAAGAAACATATTGAACAGTGTGCCAAAACTGTCGAGGATTATTGTTGCTATCTTGCACTACACTTAAGGTTATACCTTATGTGTTATGGTTATGACATATGTCTAGATAATTCCATTCAGCAAACAGAACAGGGAAAGCGTGGAAGGGGTCTATGGCACAGGAATGACTGTAGACTGTGCTGACAGTGAGAAAGGGGTGGAATGCAGGAGCGGGATTCATCCTGGCAGATGCGCACACCAGAACGCCACACAGCCACTGCAGAGGCATGGCTGTGTGTGGACGGGATGTGCTCCTGGGCCTTGAACTTGCTAGGCAGACACTCTACCTCTTGAACCACACCCCCAGACCTTTTTGCTTTAGCTTACTGTCCAGGTAGGGTCTCACTTTTTGCTTGGGGCTGGCTTTAGAGCATGATCCTCTTAGCTCTGTCTCATGTAGCTGGGATGACAGGTGTGTTCTACCACACACAACTTACTTGCTGAGATGAGGCCTTGCTAAGTTTTTGCTCAGCCTGTCTTCAAACCACAACCCTCCAGTTCTCTGTCTCCTGAGCACCTAGCATAACAGGGGTGAGGACTGCGCCTGGTGAACGCAGCGGCTTCTGTGGAGGGTCCACATGCTGTGGTCTGTGCCACTTACTGTGGGTTCCACCAGGAAAGCACTGCGGGTGGGAGTAGGGGTGGGGAAGGGCTGTTATTGCAAGGAAGCTTGTTTGCCTTTCTTTTCTGTTCCCTTTCACACTTCTCTGCGTAGTTTTTAACCTTGGACAATTATTAGTTTTAAGTGAGAGTCATCTAGAATGTAGATCTACATAGTAGGATTAAGGGCCATTTTCATTAAATAAAGTTATTTTAAAAGTGCTAGTCAATTTAAAGAACTAAATGTCTTCCTTTTTTGCCAGTCCTGGGGCTTGAACTCAGGGCCTGGGCACTGTCCCTGAGCTTCTGTGCTCAAGGCTAGCACTCTACCACTTGAGCTACAGTGCCCACGTCTGGCTTTCTCTGTGTATGTGGTATTGAGGAATCCAACCCCCCTACATTGGATGCACGCATGCTAGGCAAGCACTCAACACTAAGCCACATTCCCAGCCAAAGAACTAAATTTCTAATGCAATCACAAGACTGATGATCAGAGGGTGAAGTAAAAACTGAAGACACTAATAACTGAACATATAACTCCATAAGTACTCCTGTGGTACTTTGTAAAATAAGAGCTCACAAAAATGCTACAGCTGCAAATGTCTGCACAAGGATGCTCACAGGAGGCAGCCTGGAGGCCTGAGGGAACAACTCCAGTGAGGGCTTCCCATCCCTTCCCTCCCAGCCCATCAGACCCTGACAGCCCTGTGTCGGGGGCTTGGGACATGCTGAGGGAGCGCAGGAAGGGGAGGAAGGATCCCTACCCTCTCTACAATGCGTGCCCACATTCAAAGGGAGGAGAAAAAGCAAGAGGAATGGAGAGGCCAGAGAATGACAGCTCCAGAGGGTAACATGAGGACTCCGGGGACAGTGGCCTCTGTTTGGAGGGGGAGAGCAAAGGAGGGCCCTTCTCAGACCTCGGAGGAGGAGAATGGGCTTGGTGCCTGTGTAGGGAGGGCGTGCTCTGCCCCACCACAGCCCTCTTCCCTATCCAGCAGCAGATCTGCCTCCAGGCACCGCAACACCGCTTCCTTCCAGTGTCCCAGGCTTCTATGGTCCAAAGCCAAAAGAAAAAGCAGCAGCTCTAGCAATCTTGGGAGGGAGACTGTGTGGTCACATGGCCCATTCCCTGACAGGTGACAGGTGAGGCAGGAAGGGGCTGCTCTTCTGTCCCCGCTCCCCACAGCCCCCTGCTCCACACGGCTTGCCCGCGGCTCTCAGCCTGCTCGGGAGGGGTGGCAACCTAGTTGGAGCAGTTCACTGTGGGAAATGCACACACTTCAGAGCTGAGGTGGGGGTGCCAGGGTGTCACACGGGGGCTGCGCCTGGGCCTCGCTGCTGCAGCTCTCTGATCGTTAACACTGGTGAGGACCAGCAGCACGGCTTTCCTGTCACACATCTCCCTCTGGCTGACGCTGGGCACGGCCGGCCGGCTGAGCAGCTGTGGGGAGGGGTGGTGTGGCTCCTCACAGCTGGCTCCCCAGGGGGGAGCTGGTGGGAACAGCAGCTGTCAGGCCCAGGCTGGGGAGGGGGGGTCACTTACTCGAACAGCACCACCGCGAAGGACTGCACCAGGCGGTAGAAGGTGGGCTCGGACACGCACTTGGACTTGCAGCGCTGTGGAGAGAAGCCAGGTGCGTGAGGGTGAGCTGAGGGCTTGCTGGGCTGGCCGGGCCCAAGCCGCTTCCTTTCCTGGCAGGGCACAGCCCCTCCCCCCCACGCCCACCTGCACTGGCAGGGGCTCATCCTCACAGAGCTGAAACACGTAGGACTTCACACTGTCACCCACACCTAAAAGCCTGGGAGGACAAACGCCAAACCAACGCTGGCTATTTCTGGCTTAAGGATTTGTCGGTAGCTTCTTTTGTATTTTCTTTCTTTTTTTCTATGAAGACTATCTCACTTGGAAAAAATGTCTACTGAATACCTATAAAATTGTTTTGAGCTTTGTTAATACAGTCTTCTTTACATGGCTTTCATTGTCTTGAATACATTATTGATCAGTTGCAAAAACAGAATATTAAAGGTTATTTTTAAGAAATTTGGGGGCTGGGAAGGTGGCTCAGTGGTAGAGTGCTTGCTTTGCATGCATGAGGCCCTGGGTTCGATTCCTCAGCACCACATAAGCAGAAAAAGCCAGAAGTGATGCTCTGGCTCAAGTGTAGAGTGCTAGCCTTGAGCTGAAGACCTGATGGCCAGCTCCCAGGCCCAGAGTTCAGGCCCCACGACTGGCAAAAAAAAAAAAAATAATAAAGAAAGAAAGAAATTCATGGAACCGGGCGCCGGTGGTTCACGCCTGTAATCCTAGCAACACAGGAGGCTTAGATCTGAGGATTGAGGTTCAAAGCCAGCCTGGGTAGGAAAGTCCATGAGACTCTTATCTCCAATAAACCACTCAGAAAACCAGAAGTGGTGCTGTGGCTCAAGTGGTAGAGCGCTAACTTTGAGCTGAAGAGCTGAGGGACAGCGCCCAGGCCCAGAGTTCAAGCCCCACGACTGACACAAAAAAAGGGAAGAAATTCGCGAAGAGCCCACAGAGTGAAGCTTTTCTGGACCTGGTGGTGGCCATGAGCGCCTTGCTGTTGTCCTGCTCTACGCTGCCTTTCGGCTGAGCTGCTTCCCCGTGCTGTCTCTTCAGCGGAGTGTGGGTACAGGAAGGAGCTGGGAGTCTGTTACCATTGCTTGCTTCCCACCTGCAGCTCACCTGGGCGCTGACATAGCGCGCAAACCACTCGCGGCCTTTCCCGTCCTCACTGCTGCAGTACTCCCCAAACCTGGCCTTCTCTTCCTGGTCCAAATCCTCCCTGAGGAAGGGCAGAAGACAAGGGCACACGGCTCAGTCCTTAGGAACAAAGACTCACAGCCAGGCAAGAGCAGGAGACGGAACGGGGGAGCCCTGCGGCCTGAGTGCCCTCCCCCGCCCTCCACAGCACGGATGTGTCGCTCTTCTCGCAGGGGCCTGAGACGCAGACCAGCTGACCATGGCAGCTCAGACCTTGGGTTCTGGGGCCCGCACCCTGCCTGGCTCTGCCCAGGGAGGTCTGAGCCCTGGACCTGAAGAGGCTTTGCTTCTCTTGCAAACACTCAAAAAGGAAGCAGAAGGTTATATAGTTCTGTGGTATATTCCTGTAATTCCAGCACTAGGGAGGCAGGAGGATCAAGAGTTTGAGGTTAGCTTTGGCTACATAGTGAGACCTTATCTTGAAACACAACCCCTCCACCCCACCCCCAGCACCACAGGAAGGCTACAGAGAGGGGGCAGGAGACTGAGAACAGGCCGCTGCTCAGGAATCACTGGGGACTGGGACGCAGCCACCTTGGGTGGCCTGTACGTTTAATTCCAGCCAGTCACCGCCACCTCTAGCCAGATACCCAAGGAGACAGGCCAGCGAGAAGCCACCCTGGCACAGAAGCCAGGCGGTCTGTCCTTGGATTTGGCAAGGACGAGGTGAGCCGAGCACTGTAGAATGGCTGGGCAGTGGGGAAAACGACGGCTCCGCAGGGAGCTGACTGCGGAGACACAGAGAAGTTTCTAAATAATGTGTTGGCAAAGAGGGCCCGAGAGAGCTGTGCTTTCTTCCTCTGCTTCCCGCTGCCTGCTTGCCTAAGAGACTCCTGAAGGTAAGTGCACAGCCCTGTCTTTTCTAGGACCTGCCTCCTGGGCCATGAAGCCCAGCCAAGGCACACAGGTGAGAAGTGAGAGGACTGAGGGTCAGAGAGTGGCCAGTCCACCCAGCCGTGCCCAGTGCTGACAGGAATAGCATGCAGGGCCCGGAGCTGCACAATGGGCATGGTGGCAAAGGTGCCACGGCACCTGCCTCGCTTGTGAGCAGAGGTCTGGGGGAGTGTGAGAGGAATGGGGTCCAGAGGAAGGGGCCCTCAGGGCTCTCTGCACAGCTGCCCTCTGTACGGGGCAGGCTGCACCCCCTGGGGAGCTGGCATCGCTGGTCTGGGGTGAAGCCCAGCTCAGATGCCCTTTGCAACCTCCCACGCGCCTCTCTGTGCCAGCGAGATGGGCTGGGGGCCGCCTCAGTGCCCCCTGGGAGAGGGGGGCCTGGAGCAGGAGGCAGTACCTACCCTCCAGAGAAGACCTTCTCCACGTAGCCGCGCATGAACTCCCGGAGTGCCAGGCTCTCTGCGTCGGGGGCGGACTCGGCGCTCTGGGTGGAGGAGAAGGACTCGTTGGAGGAGGAGCGGCGGTCCTGGCCCCAGGATGGGTGCGAGGGTGACTCGCCCATGTCGTTCTCACTGTCTGCGGACTCCGTGGCCTCGCTCTCGGACGCATCGTCTCCCAGGGAGCTGTCCCTGTCCTGCGCGGCAGGGGGGGCTGCCTGCAGAGAAGGGGAGGTGGGCAGCTCCGGCCCAAAGTCGATCAGCGAGCCCACAGGGACCTCGGGGGCTTCCATGGCGGGTGGGCTGCTGCGGAGGCCGGGGAGCCCGCGGAGCGGCTTCCTGCCCCGTCAATGCCAGCTGCCTGCGCCGCGGTGGTGCCTTGAGAGGCGCAGGCCGCCAAGGCCGGGTCCTGTGGTGCAGCTCGGTGGCCCTAAGGCATCTGGAAGAGCAACACAACACATAAACAACTGTCTCCACGAGGGGCCTCTCCTCCCCACGGGCAGCCACGCGCAGAGAATGACATGGTGAGTCACACTGCCCACGAGGACAGTAATCGGGGTGCCGCTCCCTTGGTACGCTGACTGTTAGACCCGCTAGGAGGCAGGCACGCCCAAGACTCTCATTAGAAACATGAGCCAGCCCACTCCCAACAGCCAGCTGCACAGCCCATTCAGAGCCCTGCACCTGCCATTCCCCTGCTTCGTGAAAACGCCAGCCCGGCCAGCAGGGAAGAGGGCCAGCGAGGCTCTGCCAGCCGGCTGACGGCACCAGAGGCTGGGAAGCGGCCACGTCTCACTCTGAGGGCGCCCCTCTCTTTGGTTCTTCCAGCTTCTCGGGTGCTTACCACACCCACAGCTCCTGGCCTGGCGTCCCCATCCGGACCTGCAGCCACCCAGTCAGGGGACAGTGGCCCTCCCGTCCCCGTTCCCGCTCCTTTCCCAACATCTTCCCCAAGCCCATGCCAGAATTTGGTTCACCGCCCATGCCTCAGCTCACGTCCTGTTTCGTGAAGTGGCTTCCTGCCACGCCTGTTCACACGGAGTCCCCTCCCTGGCATTTCATGTAGACTCCGGAGTAAAGTGCTCCACATGTGCTGGGGATGGAGGGCCCGAGGGTGACGTGCTGGCTATGGGGAGGGGCGCGGGGTGCGGGGCGCGGGCACGCAGCAGCCCCGTGCTCAGCTGTGTTCTGCTGAGAGACAGCACGTCTCTACCGCGGCTCTGAGTGCGATGCATCCCACCTTCTCATCTCAGAAGAAACCAAGATAACGGCCGCAGAAAGGAGAGGGAAGACAGAAGGAGAGCTCAGGTCCAGAGGGGAAGAGGGTGGCACCGTGAGCAGACGCAGTAGAGTGAGGTACCGACAGGTATCTGGGAGCACAAAGAACGTGGGGCAGGAGGCCAGGGCTGGCTCGGGGTGCGCGTCTGCACCCCTGGGGACACGCAGAGCACAGGCACCGTGGCACGCGGGTTGTCCATGGTACTTGTTTCAGCTTTGAGGACAGAAAGACCTCAGCCTGCACTGCGTGATTGGTGGCCTGGCCAATGCCAAATCCCCTCTCCTAACCATGTCTGAAGTTTTCCAGACCCATCTTGAGGTTGCTGTCTTTTATTTTATTTATTTATTTTTTTTGTCGGTCGTGGGGCTTGAACTCTGGGCCTGGGCACTGTCCCTCAGCTCTTCAGCTCAAGGCGAGCGCTCTACCACTTGAGCTACAGCGCCACTTCCGGTTTTCTGGTGGTTTATTAGAGATAGGAGTCTCACGGTCTCTCCTGCCCGGGCTGGCTTTGAACCGCGATCCTCAGATCTTAGCCTCCTGAGTAGCTAGGATTACAGGTGTGAGCCACCAGCGCCCGGCCCGGTTGCTGTCTTTTAAAGCAAAATCAAATCAATACCCAAAATGTATCAATAACAACCACACTGCTCAACGAGTCCTCGCAGGACACAGAAGGTCAGGAGCACTCCAGACCCTCCCAGGAGAGGAGCTGGAGGGGTGTCTGGGGTGAGCCTAGGCGGCACGCAGGATGCCCAGGACCCCTGCATCTAGGAAGCGCTGGAGCAGCCCCTTTGGTAAGGGTAGAGCAAGGGCCAAGGGAAAGAGCCCTCTGGAGGTAGTGTAGGCGGCAGGGGTAACCACTTTTCTGGGCAGGAAGGATAGCAAGGCTTAGATCTGAGAACCCAGCCAATGTGGAAAATTCCTCTATACCAACGGGCACTCTAAGGCTCCATCTACACCCATATTCATTCTTGGGAGTTGAATCAATAAAATGCTGATAGAGGATGTCGGGAATTGCAAACCAAGAGTGACAGAAGAAATTACAACCAAGACCAGAAAGGTTCTGGAGAGCCCAGCCATGAAGGGGCGAGTCTGTAAGATGCCTCTTGATCTGGGATCCGCAGGGGAGACAGGTTCCTCCCCACGCACATCCTCCCTTGACTCAGCTCTTCACGGAAGGCTCCGGAAGTCCTACTTTACCACATTCCCCCAAAATAGAAGTATCTAAGAGTTCAGCAACCCCGGGGCAGGAGGGGGGGGGGAACCAGGGAGGGAGGGAACAGAATCCCAGGAGCCCCTCCCAGCCTGAGCCTCCTGGCCTTGAGTCTTTCCACAGCGGGGTGTGCCCCAGCTTTCAATCTACACAGGTGAGCTCTGGTGGAGGGGACGGTCCAAGGGACTGCGGGCCGGTGACTGCCATGAGTGCTACCCCTGCTATGCCAAACGTCCAACTCACGGCCAGGCCCCCTCGGTGAACAGCTGTGGTTGTCTAACAACAAGAGGACACAGCCAACAGTTCGGGCAGCTGGATGCAATCTGGACCGACTGCCTTGGCCCCTGTCCTTCTGGGTGATGGGGCAAAGGCAAGGAACACTGCCCAGGCTTTTGTGCAGAGGGAGCGCCGGCCGTCACTGGTCTGATGGGTCTGGGGTGAGTGCCCTCTCCAGGGAACCCACCGGGGTTAGGGGTGGAAACGGATGCGCAGCCATTCTCTTCAGGACTGGGGCTCTGTCCTGGCAGCCTGAGTCATGTGCAGAGCACACGTGTCCCTGTGGGAGGAGAGCTCCGGGGCCTCTGTGGTGCAGGGACCCGGGCAGCCGCAGCCAGCCCTCTCGTATAACGCCACCGGCGTCCATCACCGCCTACGCGGGCCACCGGTCACTCTGGCTGGCGGGCAGGCAGGCACTCTGCACTGTGGGGCTGGTCAGCTACCCACGCAGCAGGGAGGGTGGTCGCCATTCCATAGGAGCCTCAGGGAACCTGGCAGATGCTAACCCGTCCTCCAAATAGCCACCTGGGCTGGACTTCCCAGCCAGTCCAAAACCCGCCCCTCACTGCGCAGCAGGCCAAGAGGAGAGCCCTGAGCATGGTCAGTGTCCTTCTCCGGTGTGGGCCCTGGGCCCCTTGTGGCCTTTTAACGTCCTCCCTAACATTGAAATACGATCAACAACATCACGGAAGCATCCCTACTCACTCTGTCCAAAAGCGGTCACCCAAACATGCTCAGACACCTTTGCCATATTTTTTTTTTGGGTCTAGTCGTGGGGCCTGAACTCTAGGCCTAGGCACTGTCCCTCAGCTCTTCAGCTCAAGGATAGCGCTCTACCACTTGAGCCACAGCGCCACTTTCGGCTTTTTTTCTTTTTGCTTATGTGGTGCTGAGGAATCGAACCCAGGGCCTCATGCATGCAAGGCAAGCGCTCTACCACTGAGCCACTTCCCAGCCCCTTTGCCATATTTATAAGAGCTACAAGCTGAGAAAGTATGCACCAGGAAGAATGCGATGTAAATGTTGCTACGTTAATTCTGCCACTTGAAATAGGAAGGTGAGCATAGCGTGAGGAATGCTCATGTCTAATGGAAACGCAGTTCCCCTGGGAAGGCAGGGAGCAAGTCGCCGGACTCCTGCGGCTTCCTCACCGCTTGGCTTCACCCGGCTCTGGGAAGAGCTCTGAAGCCCCCACCTTCCGGTTTCCTCGCAGTTCTCAGGAAGTCCACATCACTCATCTTGTCGTCAAATGTGGCTTTCACGACTAGCAGGCGGTGCAGCGTGGCTGTGGCCGCCTCTGAGGACAGAGGGCCTGCGAGCCCAGGGCAGGCAGCGGCCGGCCACCCGGGCCGGGTGAGACAGCCCCGCGTGGGAACTGGCATCAGCAGGGCAGGGGGGCCGCGCCACGCCCACCCCGTGGCGCAGGCGTGGAGTCGAGGGGTTCTCATACAGGGGCCACCTGTCCACAGCTTCCCCCTGGCCATCTCTGTTCTGCCCTTTTGTGCCCCGTGCTGTCTCCAGGGAACGGGAGCATGGAGGGGAGCACGGAGCAGGGAATGGAGGGGAGAGCACTGAGGGGAGCACCGAGGGGGAGCGCGGTGGAGAGGAGGAGGGGTTGTGTCCACGGGAGGACACTGATACAATGTTCCACAAACAACAGCCAAATAAACACTCCTCTCAAGAACACCACACCATGGCTGGGTTGTGACGCAAATTTAAAACAACCGAAACCATGCTCCTACCACGATGGAATCCCACTGGAAGCCAGCCACAGAAACCTAATGGGAAAATCTCCCAGCAGGCGAAACCAAACCCACGTCATCATGACCTGGTGGCAGACAAGGGCAACTCGAGGCAAACCAGCAAGCATGCGGCCTGGATGGAGGAGACGGCTCATGAGTGCCTCAGGATGGGACTGGACGGCTGGAGAGGACGCGCCCCCTCCACAGGGCCACGCCTCTCAGCACTGCTCACCACGGCTGAGCTGACCTTGAGCGCTTGGCTGAGGTTGGCTGTGTTAGACTTTGCCACTGCAGACATAGCACTTTAAAATCTCCCTGTCTATTCTGGGCTTTTAGGAAGGAAATGGCTGTGCACTGCCCCCCACTCCCTGGGAGGGAATAAGGCCACCTCCTGGAGGACAGAGTATCTCCAGCTTCTATTTGGAACTGTGCGTGGGAGACTTGAAGTCCTGCAGTTAATCATGCGACATATAACACAACCCCTGCCCCCCACTTCTGGGTGTACATCTGTCTAAGAGATGTGAAAGGGCTGGGAAGGTGGCTCAGTGGTAGAGCGCTTGCCTTGCATGCTCAAGGCCCTGGGTTCGATTCCTCAGCACCACATAAGAAAAAAGCCGGAAGTGGTGCTGTGGCTCAAGTGGTAGAGCGCTATCCTTGAGCTGAAGAGCTGAGGGACAGCGCCCAGGCCCAGAGTTCAGGCCCCGCGACCGGACCCAAAAAAAAAAAAAAAAGAGATGTGAAAATGGATTCACCAAAAGTCTGCACACACACGGGGGGGGGGGGGGGGGGGGTGGGAGACACAGACCTAGACACAGACACAGAGACAGAAGTGGTTTGGTGGGTAGTAGTGATTAAATGTGCTCCCAAATAGCTCACATGTACTGCATGTTAACTGGGGTATGGAGAGGCAGGCAGGTGGAGCTGAGTGTCTA